GTATAGGGAACGAAATATGGTCGATTTACAACGATAAATATTTCGAAATATAAAGATTTTTCTCGTAAAATCAATTAAACTTACTTATACCCTGTGTATCCGTTGTAGTTTCTGGCGATTGTTGCCGTTTTAAGCTTGCTTTACCATCACTATTATTCACGTCATCTACTTTTATTACATTGGTAAATCTGTACAGACATCACACCAACCAACTGTGTTGAAGGCTTGAAATTATATTACGATCGATTTTCATCAAGAAATGGGCCAGGAATATTCCACAATAGTGCAAATAATCGTGAAGGGGGATCGCAGAAAAGCGATTGCGTGACGCGCGGTAAGCTGTAAGATGACATGTTATTATATACCAGACGTAAAAACTCTTCAGATTTTTAGTCTGCATTTTGTACCTACTCTGCAGTCTGCAGTCTATATTTTGTATCCGGTCTGCAGTCTGCTGTCTGCATTTTTTACTAACAGGTATCCGTGGCACCAATACAGTTTATTTTTGGTTACATTTATTCGCAAAACATACTTAATCTACCTCAAAATACCTGTGAGTGAGGTAATTCGACATTTTCGTTCTTTCCCACATTAATATTCTTCTCTCCTTTTGTAAGAATGTAGAAATCACTCACAATGTTTCAAGTAATCCATCCACCCTACAAAAAAGTAACTCTTGCATGCATAGCATGCCTATGTTTTGAAATAGGTGTATGCCCTTGGCCAGACTTGAGCGCACTATTTCAGTATACTAGTCCGACACCCGTAGTATCACTACACTTGATTCCAAGGATCCAGTACCATCCAGGTATCCCAGTTACCCTGCTCACAGGGTCTAGTTTAATCAGTTTAGGCGGGCGACCAGAGACTGGAGCCATTCGTGTATTTCACCGCACACAGGAATGGCTCCAAATCATGCGTATGTTAATTTTTTTTTCGTTCTGGCTAAATAATTCATACACTGAGATAAAAACTGAAAGAGCGATTTAATAGGTTCTTCTTAAGTTGAAGTCTACAGTGCTTGCAAATGAAGCCCTCTTTTCTTACTACAGAGCTATTTAGTTCCTAAGTTTTAAAAGAATGCAGCAACTGCATGTCACGTTTGGAAGATCACGCAATGTTGCGTGACGCTGCGACCGATGTTTCTAATTTACAGTCTGCTCTGCTGGAGAAATATGGCTTGGCCACAATCGAGGGAGTTTTTTTCCGCGGAAAACTAATTTTCTAGGTTATTGTTCACATGAAGGACAAATCCATTCATCGGACTCTTCATCTGTTTTAAAACTACTGTTCGCACAGCGCTGCTCACTAGTTTAGTTTTAAATTTTTTTTTTCAAAAACTGTTAAAAAAATATTTAAACATTATTTTAAAAAAGTATTAAAATTGAGTCGGAGCTATTCCTGTCTGCGGTGAAATACAGGAATGGCTCCAGTCTCTGGTTGTGCGCGTGAACTGACTAAATGAATTTAGTCAGCGGAGCTAGTCAGCAGATGACTTTTTCATCGCCGGAATATCGCTGAACGACCTCGCTGAACAAGCTAGACTCTGCCTTCTCTTCATTATTTAAGTAGCCATTTCTTGTTTGACTCATCGGTGTTTTCACATTGATATTTCATTGTTCCGCTTCGAGACACGCGGTTAACCATACTCACGTGCAAGGAGTTGAGATTATAAGTTTATCATCCAATCACAGGTCGGAGCCATTCCTGCGGTATTTAGACGCTTGGGCGAACACATGTCTCTCTGCAGACCCCCCTCGAATAACAAGCTGGTATTCCTCAGCGAATCCATAAATAATGATGTCCTTAGTCTAAAATGATTATAAACAGTAACACAAATCCAACGTTCTAATGAGTAACAAAATAGTCAATAATAGAGTTCAGAAATCAGCTTCTGATGCTTTTTCGTTCCCTGAAACTTGATCGTCAGTAGAGATTTCTGTGCAGGTTGCGTGACCTTTGTTGGCGCTATCAACAAACAAACAAACATTCTTGACCTAACTGCGATAAAGCAACTTCGAAAGATTGCTCAGTCTTTACATGACAAACGGTTATTGAGTTTTCTAGCTCATGATTTTGGATTTGTGAGCTGCTGTCTGCAACGTGATATTGACATTGTGACTGCGAAACAACCTTCCCATTTTTCGTCAGTGAAATTTCTTTCCGCTCAGAATCTGGAATGAGTGCTTCCTGATTGTACTCCGATTTCCATTCGTGCAAGTTTGGAGTCGATCTGACCTCGCCAGGTGATAACACTCCGCTTTCTAATTGATTCTCCTCTCCTGGAAAATCGTATGAAGTTTCTTCCGGCCCAAACGACGAACAACCTCCTCTCATTAAAAAACGATAAAGAGAAAATTAGTTAAGGAAACGAAATTTTGAATCCAGTCACGAACTCCTCTAATTTTTTTAAGTGACCGGGAAAACCCGAGCCGTAGATGGAGGAACTGAAAATAGGTCCGCCGGGCGCAGGCGTGATAACAGGGAAGCGTTCTCCGTTTCTAGAAAAAAAAATGAAGCGTTGTTCGTTTGGTATGTACTCGCTTCATATTTTTGATTGAAACGGAGAACAATTCCCTTTGTTCTTAGAAACGAACAACGCTTTTAGAATCGTTACTCAAACATATTTCTATTCCGAGCATACGATCGATTTCTGAATAGTCAAAGTCTTCATGGTATTGTTAGAAACCGAGAAAGAGTTTCTCAAGCTCACGAAACGTCCGTGAGTAAGAAACGGTTACATACCAAACGAAAAACGCTTCATTTTGTTGTTGGAAACGAATAATGTTTCGCTTTGTTGTTAGGAACGAACAACACTTTAAGAATCTTCATGGTGTTGTCGGAAACAAAGAGCGCCGTAGTGATAAAAATTTCTCAACGTTATTGCCTATAAACAGTCTGAAATTCAGATCTTTTTAATACTCGTTTCTTCGGGCGACTTGACTTTTTTTTTCGGGCGACATGACTTAAATTTCGGGCAACACGACTCAGGTTTCGGGCAACATGACTTCGGGCGACTTGACAGTAAACCGCTGTTATAGCGTTAACTTGATATTGCAACCAGGAACAAAAAAGCGCCTCTCTATTTCGAAATTTTGATGAGGCTAGCCCAACATCGTGCACAATAAGGAGCGGCTACTTCAATTTAGAGCCGATAGGTCGTTTTCGATCCCAATGCAAGTTATCTTCTCCCAATATTGAAGAAGTTCGGCGTCTAACTATTTAGTAAGGTCCGAATTCGAGTTAATCACAATGGTTGTACACAGATTTATAAGGCACGTTCAGCAGCAACTCACAGGACGGTGGTTTATGAGTTTGGCTCCTGAATGGTTCTGGTCTTGAACGAGGACTGAGGCGAGCCGGTGAAAAAAAACAAACCAAACAAAACAAAACAAAAAAAACACAGCAATGCAAAGAAGACTTCCGAGAAATTAAGAGTCTTTTATTTGAAATTTGATTCACTGCGCTTTAAAGCGTTTTCACATTCCAGTCCAACATTTGCTGTGTCTCAAGATGGAACATAAATTGTTGTAGTAAAAGATGTCATTTCATTGTTCTGTGTTTGCAATTTTCAGTTGTCATCTTCAACTTCCAGTTGACGTGGTCGGTAAAGCAAAACGTAAGCACAATGCCAGTCACCTAAACAAAGAATCACCATAGTTATCTTAACATATTTGATAGTGTTGAACTAATCACGTACTCCGATTGATCTTTATTCATGATCTATTTAAGGACAGATACGTTGATGACGTCATCATTAGCATTCATCATCATTGCCGTAGTTTCGTACAGTAGAGACCTTTGGTAGTTAGGACGGCAACGCTAAGGAAGACGTCGATTTAAAAATGAATACATATTTTTAGTTGGAATTTCGCAAATGACTGGATGTGTTTACCATCTCTTATGGCGCCACAAGTTAACCTCAGCATAACGTATGAGAGCGGCGTTGAGTTCTAAATGGAAACTTAAATAATGTGCCGTCGGGGTTTCCTTTCTCGGACCACGCAAATTCTGATGATTTCACACTGTTATTTTGCAGAGGACGGCTAAGAAATGTACACAGTTTTAAAACGCACGTGCAGAGCTATTGTTCTGCTCATTAGATCTTTTGTTTTGCCACATCCTCGTTTCCGTCGCCGTCGCTGTCGCCGTCGTGAGTTGCTTAAGTCCCTAGTAACAGATCACAGACGTCAAAACGTGTAAGAATATCATCTTTGCGCCTTTTTTTTTATTTTACCACGCTTTGACGTCATCTCTGATCTATTACTGACTCCGGACTAGCTTTTCCCTTGAAACACAACGACATACCACAAACATCTTTAATATTCACGGTTTTCTGAGTTTCCAGTCATACGGAACTCTATTCAGCACTTTTCTTTTGAACGCTTAGCAATCAACTATCTAATCCTGAGCATTTAGGCTTACGTTATTTAATTGCAAAAAGGTTCAATAGTCTTACCACCGCCAGACAGTTTGATAATGTCTTCGGTTGTGACGTTTGACATCTTGTCATCATCACACTTCACCCAGTCATCTACAAAGGACAAAATATCTTTTACCATCTCCTAAGATTATCAACCCCTTTATACCCTAATATCAGCATGCATATTCTCCATACTGTTCTCTATATATTTCCTAAGGCGCTGATAAGGAGAATTTGTTTAACAATCAAGAGCATCTTTGGTTGGTGATCATTTCCTTTGGTCTCGTGACCTTAGATGCGATTCACTCTTAGGGAATAAAAGGAAAAACCTTACGATAAATCAGTAGCAAACGTCTTATTGGTTGAGATAGTATTTCACCCTAGCTACATGTACTAGTCCATCGCTTTGAGTTAATTAAAAAAGTATTTTTTTCCACTATGTTTTATTCCTAAACATAGTCAAACGACTTTTAGAGAAACTTCGAAATAAAAAGTTCTGAGTTGTCTTTGCATTACAGACAAATCAATACGTGCTTTCTTAACGTACGAAAAGAAGCTCAAAGATAATTATAGTTTGCAAGGCTATACAAACATCAAATGAATTGAGTTCAAGAACCTTCACATCTAGAAATTTCGAGCAGGCTTTGCATTGCGTTAGGGGCATACTGTTAAAGCTTTCCTTTAAATAACGATGAAAAAATATACTTAATACTAATACTTTTCAAGACAAGACAAAAACTTAAGAGGTAAAAAATAAACCAAAAGCAATAAGGGAGGAAAAGGATGGAGAAAGTAGAGACAGATTTAAAATAACCAGCTGTGGTACCTCCTTTCCTTCTGATCCAAGCCAGATAATGTCCAGATGAAGAAGACCGTCCTTGGTGAGTCAGTACTGCTGTTAGTTCGTAATAGCCGCTGTTGTTTGAACCAATATCTTTAAGGGGAAAGAAATTTGCTTTGAGATATAGCTGTAGAAATTCACTTGACTAATATCGCATATGGAAAACGAGTAAGTACCAGCTAAAAAGTGAACGTTTAGTTGTATTAGAGAAAAGTTCTTTAGCGGCTGATTAAATCTCTAAGCTAAAACTAATCATTGAGGTTCATAACAGACCATCATGGAATGAAAAGGGCTCCAGTTTTGTTTTCTTGTCCACATCCATCGGTTGTTTGCCTTCTTTTTTACGATTCTAGAAAAAAAAAATAGTATATCAAATGAAGAAGACAAAGTCAAAGTAGTGTGTGGCAAGTTTATGAGGCCAAAAAATTGAAGTGATTGATAGATGACCCAGCAATCAATTAGCTGGCCAGCTGAACGACCATTTTCTGACCTACTGAATGAATCACAGCCTAACCGACTGACTGACTTACTGACAGACTCATTTACTAACTGACTTAACTGACTTAGTGACTCAGACTGACTAAATGACTGACCCACTAACTCATTAACAAACTGACTGGTTCACTAACAGAATGACAGACGAACTA